GGCTGCCAGTGACATTGAGCTGGAGCTGGCCTGTTACGGGAATCGGGGGGGGAACTCCACGTTCAAAGGCGGCGTGGGAACAGTGTATGAGAGGAGCCTGAGTGATTTCGAGGTGACGAACATTCAGAAATACGAATCGCAGTGGCCAGGTAACCTCTGCCTGACACAGCAGAACCCTGATCATCATGCCCACACTACTCGGGACAACGATCTCATGATGACACTCATCAGGGGCGTTGGCATGGCATATAGCGCGCGGCACCGTCGGTGGCTCTTCGCCTCCGAGATGCTGGCGTCGCAAGGCTTCCCTACCCACCCCATGCTCGTTCGGGCTGCTGTGCAGGCATCGCCCACTACGGACGACGCGGATCTGCCGGTGCTGTGCAGCTTCAACCGCGATAGGACTCGCATTAGCCACAACGGCAAGCGTATGCCAGCACGCCGGGCGAGCACGATGTGCGCACAGAGTGGGAATTCAATGAATGTGAATGTCATCGGGGCGGCACTGGTATACCAGTTCGGTTTCACGACGCGGTGGGATATTGCCATGAGAACGTTGATGTCGGTGCAGTGAGGCGCGGCGCACGTGTATGGCACGCTCACCACCGTCTCGCTCACTATCTCGGGGACTGTGTGCGCGTGTGCGCTGGCTAGATGTCGGTCCACGCATCGCGCCGCATGCATGCATGAATATTGAGGCCGTCTACTAGCGGGCCGTCTACTCTGGTGGATGCTCTGTCCCTCTCTCTCTCTCTCCCCCACCCTCTCGCACCACTTATTACTATTCTGCCTCCGTCCCCTCCAGTGTATCACTGGCCTGGCCTCTACTGTGCATGCGCTGCCCGTCGCCGTCACAGGGCGACCCCGCGCGCGCGTGCTCAGCTCATGCACGCACGCCTAGCCACGCGGGTGATACAAACATGCTCGTCCCTCTGACAAGTTTTGGGGCAGCCTCCTCCTCATCTTCTGGTGTTTGGGGCAGCCTCCTCCTCCACCTGACTCCACCCCCTCCTCCTCCTCCTCCTGTTGGCACGTTGACTGGTTCCTGGGGCCGACTCCTCCGCCTCCCTCCTCTTCTTCCTCCTCGCCCTCCTTCCTTCAGGTGGGTCCAACTTGGGGCGGGGCCCCGGCCCCAGTGTCGTTGGGGGACGTAACATCCACTCGTGGAACGAGCCCTCTCTGCGCGCCCGGTGAGGCACGACGCCGGCGCGCCTCACCCCTCTGCTCCTCACCTCATCCCTCCCCCGATGCTGAGCACGGCTGGAGAGCGCGCCAGCACGGGTGAGTTGTGCACTTACCACCGCCTCCTACCGAGCTACGCATTTCCACCTCCCTTCCCGTCGCATCTCTGCCTCTCCCCCCGCATCCTCCTCATCGCCCTGCTCAGCTCCACTGCCTCCCCCTCCAGCCTCCAGCAGTCGTCCCCACCGTCTGGCGTTGCCCTGCCCTATCCGCGGCCGCGGCCCAGCCAAACGAATTGAGGTTATCCGATCCCTCCCTTTGGGCGACCCCGCGTCGCTCCGCTCCCCTCCGCCCGATGTCTCGGTCGTCGGGTGCATCCGTCGTCGGCCGCGGCGGCAGCGGCGACGTCGGCAACGCCGACAACCTGCCGATCGTGCCCGCGGTGCCCCAGGCTGACACGAAGCTCGACGTCCGCGCTGCCATGGCCGATCGTTTCAAGCCGTACCCGTCCGCGGAGGCGAGGTTGGGCAATCTGAACGGTATCATCATGCTCCAGGCTATCGACGAGCTTTATTTCGATGGCGAGGTCGTCGACATCGACTACCTGACTCGCGATGGCCGCTGGGCCGTGGAGAGGCACGGGAGGGGGTTGAATAGCTGGGCAGGTATATTGGTGCTACTGCGATTGGCCCCTTGTGCTCGGAGATCGGTGTGTCGTGACCGTGCATGTGTAAACGTCATTGCAGATCCCATATAATGAACGATAATAACAATGATGTGGTACGGATGACGGGCCGAGTGATTATGATGACGATGAGGGGGGCGTCGTGACGACGGTGACGACGGACGCGACGACGTCGCTCGCCCGACGAGTGGTGGCTGATTACAAACGCCACGCTCACCAACGCGCTGAGGCGGTTGTGGAGTGATATGGAGAATCTCAGCGATGAGGAACGTGAGATGGTGCGGGTGAGTATCAACATGAAGTTGCGCAACGCCAAGGTGTTCCACCCGCGGACTCCGGATGACATCGTCGAGAAGCTGAAGGACGCCCACAACGTGACCGGTGGCTCCGCGAAGAAGTCCATCATCGAGCATTTGGACTCCACTGCCGACTGCCTCGCTACATTCCAGAAGCTGGCCGACACCGCCATCATGACGCCGTCGAGCGTACCGTCGCTTCCGAGTACTGGGTCGCGTGCGAAGGACGAGTGGACGTACATCCAGAAGAATTTCCCCGCGCTGTTCGGCACGAAGGAGGACTTCTTCATCGCGAGCAAGGCCCTGGTCAACAAGCTGAAGCCCCTGGACGCGTACTTCAAAGATGAGATCAGCAAGTGCGTGCCCGCCCATGACAGCCGGCTGCAGAACAACATCCAGGTGCAGACCATGAACGAGTTCTGCGCCTTCGTGTCCACCCACTTCGAGGGCGCGATGGAGACGTGCGCGTACGAGGCGCTCCTGGTCGAAGGTTCTTGGACTGCAACAGGTTCCACCGTCGGCCGACGAGGCCAACGTGTGATCGACGCCTCTGGTGCCGACAGGGCGGCTCAGCGTCTTGTCGGTGCCGTTGTCGATCTCACGTTGCGCAAGTCGTCCCGCGATGTGGAAACTGTTCGCGATTCAGCGTAGGTTGCAAGTACTGCGTGCCCGTCTACCCCAGCGAGGAGACTGGTCAGCGCGAGCAGCCCTGGATCTTCCAGAAGGTCACCAAGGACGCGAAAAAGACGTTCTTGGAGCTGTTGACTACGCCAATGGGTGGCTCGGTGACCCACAAGAGGGGGAAGAAGATTGCCGAGAAGGCAGCGTCCAAGCCGCCCCCAAAGAAGAAGCAAAAGAAAGGGGACGCCCCCGCGCCGGCGACATCCGACCATCCCGAGATGTTCGAGGATACGGTGGCCGGTGGCACTCGCGAGAAGTATTTCCTCGACGACGTGGTTCAGCTCGTCGAGCACGCGCTGAGCACATCGCAGGCGGCGCTGTGTCGCAGAGGCCGGCGCCAAGTGTATGCCGTCGTCTTCTCGATAGCGCTGGAGTTCTGCTGGACGCGGGCTGTTTTGTTCAGCGGCAAGGTGCATGAGTCGTGGAGCACGCTGCGGGCAGCTCTGCGGATCACCATCAACAACATGGGCGCCCTCAGCCTGCCCGTGACGAGCGGCGACGGCGGCAGCCTGGACGCCAACGCCGTCAAGTCGATCTTGACCGGCGCGGTGAGGGCTTCCTCCGTGCCCGACGCACCGGCGCCTTCTGGGGCTCAGGAGTCCCGCGACGCAGATACGCTGGAGCAGCTGACTGCGCTGTACGAGAGGGCGACTGCGTCCGATGTCGACGCCAGGCCAGGGGATATGGTGCAGCGGGTGGTGATGACGACACGTGCGAACGACGATGATGATGCCGATCATGACGACATGACGAGTGTGAGTGTATGTATGGGGAGGATAGATGCTGAGCGATCCGAGGGCAGCCCCCCCCATCATCTCCTATGAGCGTGGCTCTACCCCCGCCCATCCGAGCCACCATCGTGTCGGCGTCGACGGCGCACATCGCTCAACCTCGGGGTGGGTCGGTTATCCTCTGGACTCCTCCTCTCGCTTCTCTATTGCCTACTCAATGCCTCCCAGCATCCCCAATCCCCCTCCTCCTCCTCTGTAGGGTCAAGGTTTATTACATTAGTCTTGGATGTAGGGTTAGGGTCTTTAGGGTTAGGGTATGTAGGGTTAGGGTGTGTAGGGTTAGGGCTTGTAGGATTAGAACTTCTTCTCCTCCTCCTCCTCCTCCTGCCCCCACTTAGCCTCCTCCTCCTCCTCCTCCTCCTCCTCCTCCTCTTCCGTCTCCACCTCCGCATCCATCCTGTTCCCCCTCCGACATCAGATAATCCCTCCCCATGTGCGCTCGCCCTCTCCCTCCCTCACTCGACAGGCAGGTGGTGCAGTCGCTGGGGGCATCCGGAGCATCCGTCAAGACGAACAAGCTGTACCGCGCGTTCCGCGACCAGGCGTTCGACGAGGTCGCTGCTCACTGCCGGCCGTCCTCGCATGACCCAGAGTGCTTCTCTGTCGATGACGTGACAGTGCCGTTCAAGGCAATCGTCTCGGTGTTCGGTGCGACCCCTACTCTGTCTATCGTTCTGGACATGGCGCACAAGACATCTGCCATGGTATCTACCACTGGCGCGATCCCCGATGTAGTGGCCTCCGTGTTCGATACGCCCGATCGCCTCAAGACTGCGATGCAGGTGCATGCGCGCAACAAACTGTAATGCATCACACGGCTCCGCCGCCGCCTGCCCCCCGCCACATGCCATCCCTCCCCCCCCCGATCCCCATCCCCGACGCCGCGGCCTCCGGCCTGTCCTTGCACCATCCTCGAGGGGGGGGCCGGGGGCGCAGCCCGCGGGCACCCTGTGCCAAAACTGCAGTGCGGTCAGGGGGGGGGCCCGGGGGCCTCTACTCATGCACCCCTTCTCCTCCCCTCCTCCTCCTCCTCCTCCTCCTCATCCTCCTCCTCCCCCGCCGCCTCCTCCCACCCCGTGCTGCTGTCTCCTTATCTTCCTCCCTTCTTTCACTCTCGTCCCTCTCCCCCGTCCTCTTCATGCCTGTTACGCAGTAGAGTTGCGAACCGCCCTCAGGTGCGCGTCCAGTTCGTCGTCGCGTTCGTCCGCGACATATGCATGAGCACCTTCAAGTTCAGTAGTGAGTTCGCCGAGCAGCTGGCGGGCGTGTGTCTATTCATGCGTGAGCACCCCGCAGCGGGCGCTGCTCTAGTGGAGCTGGACGGCTACATCGCCGCGGGCAGCTCGGGGGCTTCATGGGCCACGATGTTTATCAAGTACGTCGAGGCCGTGTGGCAGGTCTCTAAGCTCACCATTGCGAGCGAGGCCGTCTTGAAGAACGAGCACCTCAAGAAGGTGGTGGAGACTGTGAAGAAGGACGCCAAGCTCGGGGTAGCCTCCAGCGATAGCTCCACGGCTGGGCCTGATCGTGAGCTCGGTCAGCTTGTCGAGGTCAAGACTGAGGCCGATGATGCTGCTGGGAGCGAAGCCGCACTCGCGCCGCTGACGGCGCCTCGCGTGGACCCGGAGCACTTGATCGTGTCCGCCTCCGAGCTGCACGTCCTCAAGGATAGCTACTCGGTGAGCCAGGTCGGTCACAAGGTGCTGGACATGTCGGCTGACGCCATTGCGCTGGGCATGACAGCTGGCGATTTCAATTCGATCTTCTTCAAGCGGCTGCAGGCAGACTTGTCCGCGTTTGCAGCTAGTGCTCTGCGGCGTGAGGCGTCCAAGGACGTGATGGCCGACCTGATGCAACCCGCTAGGGACGGATCGTTTGCGCCCATTGGCAGGAAGCTCGGTGAAGATATGAAGTTGCACTTCGTCGGGCAGGTGGCCATCGGGGCGGTGCCGGTCGGTTCCTGGGAGTGCATGAAGGCCTTCGGTTTGCAGTTCTACATCGTGCCTGGTGCGAAGGGGTCAAATGGGCCGCTGAGCGACTGCTACCTGCCCGCGTGGTCCGTGCCTGAGGTGTCCACCGGCCCCAGCATGAAGACCGAGACCCTGCTCCTGCACTACACGCCGTCTGCCACGATGTTCCCCGAGCTCCAGCCGACGATGATCGTGGGTGCCAAACCGTCTACCTTCGCAGACCATGATAGTGACGTCTGCTCGCTCAGCTACTGCGACGAGACCAAGCGTTACTACTGGCCGTTCGAAGTCCACTACTTGACGCCGCTCGAGAGCATGCACGGCGAGACCGACGAGCCCCTCACCCGCAGCGCCCATCCTGCTGAGCGGGGCAAGGCCGCCGGTGGCGGCAAGGGCAAGGGCAAGGGTAAGAAGGGCAAGAGCCAGCAGGACAACGGCGGCGGCGGCACCACCATGCAGCCCTTCGACCTCGTCGCGATGACGGGCGGCAAGGCGGCGACGGCCGCGCACGCCCGCGCGGTGATCGCTGCCCAGGGGAATACGGGTGGCGCCGCTGGTGCCCAGCCGCCGCCAGCGGGGGCGGCCGAGGAGGTGGCCCGCAGGGCGGATCTCCTGCGCAGGGGCAAGCACCTTCTCAAGTGAGCCCCGGTGCGGGTGCATGTTGACTTATGCGGATTGCCCCGCCGCACGCTCTCCCTCTCTCACTCATCCCTCTTGTTTTGTTCTCTCTCTCTCTCTCTCTCTCTCTCTCTCTCTCTCTCTCTCTCTCTCTCTCTCTCGCTCTTTCTCGCTTTTCGTCTCTGTCCGATCCCAGCTGTTGAACATGCTATGCTCATCCTCCCCTCATCCCTCTCCTGCCTCCACCGTCTCGGCAATCCCTCTCCCTCCCACCCCACTTTCCGCTAGACCTCCCATCTCGTCCTCGCACTTGCCCTCAACCCCTCAACCGTCCTCCCACCCATCTCATCATCATCATCACCATCCTCACCCTCATCATCCTCATCGCCATCATCACCATCCTCACTCTCCGTAGCTCGGCTACAGCTGGGTGTGCTGTGCAGTCGGCTACAGCTCCCCCTAGCGGGGCTCGGCGGCGCGCGCTGCCGACGGCGACCTCTCACACTTACTCGCCGGCGGGTGCCGGCACCGACGCATGCGAGAAGCGGTGCCTACTATGCAATCGCTGCCGCTGCCACCGCGACCATCGTCCATCGCCGTCTCTGCCGTCTCTCTTGGTCAAGCCTTCATTCCACGCAGCTTACGCCGCTCCGCCGAACCCCATAAACCGTGGGTGGGTGGGTGGGGGCGGGGGCCTTAAACTCGGGGGTGGGGGCCTTGAACTCGGGGAGGGGGCCTTCAACTCGGGGAGGGGCGTCGCTGGGACCTTGCGTGGGCCTGCTGAGCTTGGAGTTGTCGGGGCGCCTCGGGGCCGTCGACGATCGCGAACATGTCAATATCATATCCGATATCCCGTCGGTCCTCGGTTGCCTCCTCGCGAGCCCCCCCTCGTCACGTCGATTCGCGCACGAACGATCAACGTTTAGATCGACTGTCTGCGTCGAGTGCGCGGAGGATGGAGCGGAGGGAGGCGAGGAGCGTAGAGGGATAGATACGGATAGATATGCGGCGAGTAGGGTGGATAAGGATAGAGTAAGGTTGAGATGATGAGAATGGGGCGAGGACGACAGAGATAGGGGAGCCGAGCATGGGAGTGAGGACGCGGGTGAGGGCACGGATGATGAGCGCGATGAGGGAAAACCATGATATGGATGATGAGCGCGAGGAGGGGACTGAGGAGAGGGAGGGCGCGGGCGAGGAGACGGAGGAGGAGACTCAGGAGATCAACTCTGGCGTCTCTCCGATTGGCGGTTTCAAGAGGGTCCCTGAAACTCAGCCTTCACAGATGAGGGAAGCGGGGGAGCATGCAGAAGAACAAAGAGCGGGTTAAGCCGCCATACGCTCCAAGAGGGGGAGGATGTAGGAGGAGTCGTCGTCGTCGGAGTAGGAGGAGGAAGACGAGGAGCAGGAGGAGGAGCAGGAGGAGGAGGGGGAGGAGGAGGAGGAGGAGGAGGAGGAAGATGAGGAGGAGGAGATGGAGGAGGTTGAGGACGAGGAGGACGAGAAGGAGGAGGAGGAGGAGGAGAAGGAGGAGGAGGAGGAGGGGGAGGGGGAGGAGGGAGGAGGGAGAAAAAGAGGAGGAGGAGGAGGACAATGGCGAGCTTGGGGGCCTCTTGGGCCGTCTTTGGGGCCTCTTGGCGGTCCCGGAGGCCTCTTGCGTATCTCGGGGAGCTTCTTGTGGCCTTTTGGGAGTCTCTTGGAGGCCTCTTGGAGGCTCTTGGGGGCCTCTTGGGGCCTCTTGGGGCATTCTTGGGGCGCTCTTGGGGCGCTCTTGGGAGCCTTCGGGGCGCTCTTGGGGCCATATTGGAGGAGATCTATCAAAGAAGGGGGGGTTGCTTATTAGCGTTGCCCCTCTAGAGTGCCTCGAATCGCTTCTTGGGCCTTCCTAGAGGCCAAAATCCGTCCAAAACCTAAGGAAAATCAATTTGTTTTGTGCTTTCTCGCCTTTTCGCTCTTGGAGCCGTCTTGGGCCATCTTGGGAGCATCTTGGGGCCTCTTGGGGGTCTCTTGGGGGCCTCTTGGAGGCCTCTTAGGGGCCTCTTGGGGCCTCTTGGGGCTCTCTTGGGGCGCTCTTGGGGCGCTCTTGGGAGCCTTCGAGGCGCTCTTGGGGCCATCTTGGAGGAGATCTATCAAAGAAGGGGGGGTCCTCAATTAGCGCTGCCCCTCTAGAGTGCCTCGAATCGCTTCTTGGGCCCTTCTTGAGGCCAAAATCTGTCCAAAACCTAGGTAAAATCAATGTTTTGTGTTTTCTCGCCTTTTCGCTCTTGGAGCCGTCTTGGGCCGTCTTGGGAGCCTCTTGGGCCTCTTGGAGGTCTCTTGGGAGCCTTTTGGAGGCCTCTTGGGCGCCTCTTGGGGCCTCTTGGGGCGCTCTTGGGGCGCTCTTGGGGCGCTCTTGGGAGCCTTCGGGGCGCTCTTGGGGCCATCTTGGAGGAGATCGATCAAAGAAGAGGGGGTCCCCAATTAGCGTTGCCCCTCTAGAGTGCCTCGAGTCGCCTCTTGGGCCCCCCAAGAGGCCAAAATCCTTCCAAAACCTAGGTAAAATCATTGTTTGTTGCTTTCTCGCCTTTTCGCTCTTGGAGCCGTCTTGGGCCATCTTGAACTCTCTTGGGGCCTCTTGGGGGTCTCTTGGCAGCCTCTTAGAGGCTTCTTGGGGGCCTCTTGGGGTCTCTCGGGGCCCTCTTGGGGCGCTCTTGGGGCGCTCTTGGGAGCCTTCGGGGCGCTCTTGGGGCCATCTTGGAGGAGATCTATCAAAGAAGGGGGGAGCTCCAATTAGGGTTGCCCCTCTAGAGTGCCTCGAAGCGCCTCTTGGGCCCCCCCAAGAGGCCAAAATCCTTCCAAAACCTAGGTAGAATCAATGTTTTGTGCTTTCTCGCTTTTTCGCTCTTGGAGCCGTCTTGAGCCATCTTGGGCGCCCTGACACCTCGCGAGACGCCTCGTCCAGGTCAGTGGGGAGGGGTAAGGGGAGGGGTAAACCCCTCCCCGAAGGGAAAGAAGGGGGGTTGGCAGAGGAAACTCCCTAGACCACCTACGCCCTAAAGGGCTGGTGGGATTACCCAGCCCCGAGCCAACCCCAACATCAGGAGCTGGCGGATGTCTGCGTGACCGGGCGTGGGGAGACCGAGCAGATGTGCAAAAACATTGAATGTCGCGACCGGGCAGGGCGGAAGTGAAAATTGGGGGAAAAAAGCGCAGTTCGATTAACCAAACAAAAGGCGGCACCGAGATTGTGAGATACGCGGGAACGTTGCGCCCGGCGTTCTGACTACGCGTTTCCTTGCGTCGATGGCATGGGCCCGAAAACGATGGAAATCGTCATTGTGGCCACAGCGGGGCTTACAGCGGCACCCGTGGTTCATCTTCAACTAGAACCTAAGCTCGCGTGTAGCGCGCGTGGGCGTGCGTGGTTTTATCACACGCACAAACACATATATATGTATATGTATATGTATATGTATATGTATATGTATATGTATATGTATATGTATATGTATATGTATGTGTATATGTATTTGTATATGTATATGTATATGTATATGTATATGTATATGTACATGTATATGTATATGTTTATGTATATGTATATGTATATGTTTATGTATGTGCATATATATATATATATGTATATGTGTGTGTTTGTGCGTGCGTGCGTGCGTGCGTGCGTGCGTGCGTGCGTGCGTGCGTGTGTGCGTGTGCATGTGTGTGTGGGTGTCCCCGCCAGGCCCTGGCCGTTGCCGGGGTATCTTCGCCATAGATTCCCATTCTTGGGTCGGCTCCCCCCCCAGCGTGCCCCCTCGCGACTGCCCCCTCGCGAGTGATGCCGCCCGATCCCTTATGGGTGGATCTGGCATTTCCTTACTGCGTGTGCTGGCCTGGCCCACGCGCGCTTTCTTTTCGACATTTCCACCGCGTCGCCTCGCGCGTGGCCGCGACGCCAAAACATGTGTTCGTGTTGAAGCGCAGCCACCCCTCTCACGCATTTGCGTGCCGATTTGCCCAGCGCAGTTCGCCATCTGTAACGCCAGATGGCATCGGCGCTCGAACGCTCACCGTTCTAGCCTTCGCAATGGCGGCGTCGCCTCGGCCGTTGGAGGAACACGTGTTCGTGTGTGAGAGAGAGAGAGAGAGAGAGAGAGAGAGAGAGACAGAGACACTATACTTCAAACCGCGCCAGGACATTTCCTGGCACCCCTGCTGGAACCATTCTGTTCACCGGCAGGAAAATTGGCAAGAGGTGGTCAACCGCCTCAACAAAGAGTGTGGCCCCATGTTGACCATTGGTTGGAACGCTATTTGCGACCACGGAATGGGGTATGAAGGATCCACCAAAGACCCCGGCCGCCACTCCCCGGACTTCTGCCAAGAACTCGTGTCTGAGCTCATCCAGTCCACCTTTGACGTCCTTAGCATCTGCCGTAGCAAGCGCATCCACGTTGATTGGGACGCTTCGTAGGAGCAGGAGGTGGAGAAGAGGAGGCCCAACGCCCAGAACACCAAAAGCAAAGGGAAGGCCCCCCCCCCAGGGCAAAGGCAAACAACCAGCTTATTCCTCCTGGCCCAGCAACGGCCCGTCGCGGCAGCGTTGGTCCGGGTCTTACAGTCGACACTGGTGGCGGAACGCCTGGTGCCCTACTGGCAGCTGCGCCATCCGCCATTCGGGATCCAGTTCTGAACGGCCACGCGTGCGCCCCCCGCTGCGTTTCATCCGGGCGTCAGTCGCCCCGCCAGGGGTTCGCCTGTTCTCGATTGCGCCCGTGCACCTGCTCGGCGCTACCCCCCACCCGGTTGGGCCGTCTGGGGCCCGCCGGCCGGTCTTTCGTCCTTCCTTTTACCCGCGCGCTTGGCCGCGGTCGCCACTGGCCGCTGCCTGCGCCTTCGCGCCTTCCTCCGCCCGACCGCCTCGCCTGGCGGCCCCCCCCCTTTTGGGGTCGTCTGCTCCATGCCCAGTGCTGCTGCGCCTGTTCGGTGCCTGCTCT